AAAAAAAAAAAAACAGAACTCCCTTTGAATGTTCTTTAGCATCCTTTTAAAGGACTCTGAAGAATTAGTACTGGCTTTATTGGTTAGGGATTATCTCCTTGAAAAGACTTCTTACATGTAGTTAAGAAGATTTTCAATTCCCTATTGTTATTGTAGTAGTGACTGAAATAATTTTCAAATGCTTTAAAATAAATCTATTCTCAGTTTGTGCTTTTTTGTACCTATAAATTGCAAACAAGCTATAATCACTAACTTGTGATTTTTTTAAGGTTTCAGCATCTTAAACAGGATAATAACCCATTCTTGGATAGAAATAGATTATCTTTTGTGAGGTAGATAAAATATGTGCAGAGAGATTTACAACATATTTTGAGCACAGAGTTACTTTTTGTAGAATAGAACTATGACTAAAATAAATGGAAACGTGCATGAAAGTAAGTTATAGTTCTATAAATTTTTAAAGTACTTCTTGTGTATTTGACAAAAATAAAAATTCAGATCATGGTCCAAACATTTTCTAAACAAATTGGTTGTTTATTTAATCTGAGAATCTTACTTATATTATAAAATTATGGCTTTTTAAATCAAGAAATTTTATATGCATGAAAGTAAGTTATAGTTCTATACATTTTTAAAGTACTTCTAGTGTATTTGACAAAAATAAAAATTCAGATCATGGTCCAAACATTTTCTAAACAAATTGGTTGCTTATTTAATCTGAGAATCTTACTTATATTATAAAATTATGGCTTTTTAAATCAAGAAATTTTATTTAGAATGATTGAAATGTTTTAAATCTAAAATTGAATAACCATTTTAAAGATCAGCTATGAATACATTCCCTTTATGGGTCTAAGAGATTAGCAGCATAGATCTTCTTAGAACCAGTCTTCTTATTTGCTATTACAGCTGCATATGAAGACAGAAAAGACTGTGTCTATGATGCTTTGACAGAGGGTCTTTGGATTTATCTTTAATAAAAATTATTACAAAGTACTATTCACCTATATTCCTCAACTAAAGATTGTTTTCCCACAAATAAAGGTAAATGGAGTAAGTTCTAAAGCAATTTTTAACGAAAGCACGTGCACACACACACACACACACACACACACACACACACACACACCCCACCACCCCCAGAAATATTACTAGAACTAATACTAGGACTATTACTGGAACTAATATTATACCCCCCACCACCCCCAGAAATATTACTAGAACTAATACTAGGACTATTACTGGAACTAATATTAGAACTATTTGACAAATGCAGTTTTAAACTCCCATCATTCACATTTGTCCTTTTTTGGGATTGCAACCCTTGGTGTGGTGTCGCCCGCACTGCGCTCAGCCAGCGAGCACACCGGCCATCTTTATATAGGATCCGAACCCGCGGTGGGAGCGCCGCTAAGCTCCCAAGCGCTGCACTCTCCCGAGTACAACACGGGGCCAGCCCCCATCATTCACATTTGAAAGAGAAATGGCAGTAGTCACCTGTTACTGTTTTGACATGGAAGCCTTTTGGAGGACGGGGACCAAAATACAAATCTATTCCCAAATTCATTTGCCTCAGGGGATATTTTAACCTTTGGGACAAAAAGTCTTTCATCTTGTTTACCATATTTTACACTAAACAAATGTCCCTCTATCATATTTTATTGGGTTACTTAACTAAAATCACTTCAGGGAAATTCAATTTAACTAAAGCATTTTTCCAGTACGGGTGGAGGTGGAGAGAGACATGATGCTTCATGATAATTATCATAACTCTACTATTTTCTTTCCTAATTAGGGATTGTAACATTTTGAACATTTGATCTGTTAAATATGTTCATGTGTTGTCTGCCCTGGGCTTAGGAGTCACATCCAGTTTTTAGAAAATAACACATACATAATATTAATACATTTCTTACCTCGACCTACTTGTATTTTCTAAATCTGCCCTTTCTTGTACATACCTGTATTTCCTTAAACACGAAGACACCCCACATTGCAGCTATAAATCCGGGACCCTTAAACAAAAATAACAAATTTAATTAAATTGAATATTTTCTTTTTTTTCTTTTTTTTTCCTTTTTTTGTCTTTTTTCATGTCCGGCAACGGATCGCAACCCTCAGTGTCACGCCCGTACCGGACCGGGACCAGCAACGGGATCGCAACCCTCGGTGTCATGCTCGCACCTCGCTCAGCCAGTGAGCGGGAACCGGTCTGTATGTGGGATCCGAACCCTCGGCGGGAGCACCACCGCGCTCCCAAGCAGCACACTGTAGCAGTGCGCCACCGGGCTGGCCCAAATTGAATATTTTCTTATGGCTGTATTCTATGTAAATATAGTAAATTGGAGACAATATAAAAATATCTTCTGGGAAAACTACCCATAATCTCAACCCTAACTCCACATTAAACTAAATATTAAGTAACATTAAATAAAAAATGAAGACTTTTTTCTTCATGGTCTTCATTTTTATTATTTTGATGATACTCTGATATTTTGTAGCATAGAATACTTTTCATTAGTGTGATATACTTATAATAAAATATTTTAATAAGCAAGTAGCTTATTTCTTCTATTGACTCAGTTCCTTAGGATACCGGACATGGGATCAATAAGAAAAAGTGTATGAACAAACTTCTAACCTTCTTTGGCATGAGATAATCTCATAATTGAAGAAATCTTAGCATGTTCTTCTTTTGGGCCTGACAAAGAGTGTGCATATGGAAGCAGCTTATACTTTAAAAAAAAAAAAAAATTAACAGATACTATTGCAGAGTAATCAAGTATGTCTAAAATTAAATGCTAAATGAATGCAAAAGGTAGTTTATGTGGAGATAAAAAAAAACAGTGAGGAAAAAAACAGAGGTTACTGAGTAGGAGACAGACAAGAAAGAAATAATATAGGGCAAAGAAAATGAGAAGAAATGAGATGAAGAAAGGAAAAATTCTGCAATTTGAAAACTTTCAGCTATTCACATTTGGTGTTAATTTTTTTTTGTTTGTTTGTTTTTTTACTGAGAAGAAAAAAATGTAATTTGGATTAATCATGGTCTTTGTGGAGAAGGTGTATTATATCAACATTTTTATGATTCCTCCTCAAGCCCTACAGGAACTCTGGAAGAGCTTCAATAAACAATTCCAAAATGTTTTTCTCCTGCCACTACTCCAACCGTCTAAATGACTGGGTCAACAAAGTTGGACTCCACTCCTGGCATGTAAGTGAAGCAATAAAAATACATTACTCTCTATTTATCAGCATCTGGAAAGTCAACATCAAAAGAGCCAGAGAAATAGGTCAAAGGAACTGCCTTTTATCAATGATGTAAGGCCCTAAGCCTCAAAATCCAAATCAGATGAGAAGCATATGGTCTTTCAGGCAATCCCACACTGAATTTCAACAGCATGGGAGGAAACAATAGAACAGGGGATACGATGTTAATGCTATTATGCCATTTGCTAAAGAAGTTTTATCCTCTTTAATGTAAAATTTCATTTCCCTTCAGAGAACATGGTAGAAGGCAATATCACAAGGTATCACTGACCTTTGAAGTTTTTATCTGAAGATTTTCCAAATATTATTTTAGAAATGGCCTAAGAGTTACTGAGACACTGAACCTTCTGGATAAGCTGATTCAGCTTCTAGAATGATCAGGGAAGAAATGGAGCAGAGATAACAGGCCCTTGACCCTGCTAGGTGGGTTCTGTTCTTTTCTTTCTTTGTCTCTCTTTCTCTCTTTCTTTCTCTTTCTTTTCTACCCCTTCCCCTCCCCGCTCCTTCCTTTTCTTTTTTTTTTGCTTTCAAAATAAATGTTATTTGCCAATAAAATAGATGCTGCTCTCTTAGTCTTGTTACCACTAGATACATAACTATGCAAATATGTGTACCTGGGAGGAACGGTGCTACTGGAATTTAAAAAATGTACTCTTTTGATAAAATAAGATTGACCATATTAATAATTGTTGAAACTGAGTAATAGGTATGCTTGAATTTTACATTAAAAAATAGTTTAAAAACTCTAGCCCTACTGAAAAAATATAGAAGCATGCAAGATCCTTGAGTGCAGGGAGTGAATCTTTTCAGCCTGTGGTTAAAGTTGACTATCAGAGTGGCAAAAATGAAGCCAAGCAAGAACTTAATAGCAAGAAATCTATTCCCTCACCTCCTCCCAACACCTGTCCTTCTCAGATAACAACCCACAAGCATCAGAGGAAGCCACACCTGGTGAATGTGAAGGTTCTACTTACATTACTACAGTTTTTCAAGAATAATCTCTTTATGGGTAAGTCTCTAAAAGCCACAGTGACCACACCCACCGACCTCAGTGATTTATTTCCACTGAATTAGGCTTTAGTGTTTTGTCCTAAGTTGATTCAAGAAGCAAAGGTAGGAAAACCATTTCTTTGTCTACTATAATATTTTTGTGAGGGATATTATTAAAGGCCCCATATGAAAAATACTATTAAGAATTTAATGCTAGAAAAGATTGGTTTCTTCTGACGAAATAATGTGCTACAAGTTAATAAGAATTAGCTACCCCACTGTATTGCCCTATTGGAAGCAAAAAGTAAAATTTAATGTTTAATCATATCAACCCTTCACCCTTTATGCTATTTGCTTCCTTTATCGTCCTTGTCATGGTTTTGATTTGCTATTTGTGTTTGTATTTCTATTCGTCTTGTGTGAATTAATTGTGTTTGTGTATTTTACATAAAATTGCCTCAAACCCTTTTTGGAGAACCCACATTTGTTCAAGAATATAATTTGATTAAAAGAAAAAAGTCACTATCATATGATCAAGATAAAAGTTCAATTTGATGTGAATAATAACTACCTATTTTAATAAATCTTATTCCTCCTTATATAGTGAGATTTAATACTGTCAAATAATAGTTGCCTCTCTGAGGAATGTATCATAATGTATATTTTTCTGTACAAACTTGCCTTTAAGTATTTAACAAGTAAGCTTTGTACCATACTGTCCCACTGTCAATTCTAACATTGAATATCCTTGAAATGAAGAGGAACAAATCCCTTCTTGGAAAGAATTTGGGTCCTTTGCCATTCCAATTATGAGGACTTTAGACCTAAAGGAATTCCTTATAACTTGCTAGATTTTGACAACATTTTCCATCAGCAGGAATTAAGAATGTCAAAACGTGTGTTCTTTAAATTTTTAAAAAAGACCTTTATTATTTGAATTTAGTTACATTTGGAAGCTAACTATTTTATGAATATGGAAGAACTGTCAAAAATATAGTTTGAAATCCGGAGTTTATTTTAAATTTTTATGCAATATGTTTTAGGCTAGACAATGTGTTTCAAAAAGAATGAATTTCCTAGGTTTGCACAGGTATGCTACTTAAATGTTTTAGGCAAATTTTTTTGTGATTATGACTTGGAAAGCAGGGGATGCAGTTGTACAACTGGTTAGGACATGCAGATAAGAGAGTATCAGTTTATCTATCTGAAACTCATAATTGTATTCCTAAAAATCAAAATCCATGACAGTCTTTAGTGATTCACCAAGAGTGTTTCAGAAAAATTAGATTTACATTAGAAAAAAAAAATTTGAATAAGCAATTCAGCTACTTACAGCAGTGATTATTGGAAAACTGACCACAGCACTTAGAGAGTGATTGGCTATGAACCAACAGCAGGTAGCTATTGCCCAAAGTATTCCTGACAGGAACCCTCCACTTCTTTATCAATCTTTCCCTCATGACTTTCGCTCTCCAAACTTCTCCCTTTTCTAAACACAGATCACATTAATTTTCTGTACCATCTGATTTAGAACTTTATTTCATCCGTGATCTCATTCTCTTATCATTTTCTAAGTGTAAGACATAAAATGTGATTATAGCACCCCCAAAGCAGACACTCTTTCATCTCCTTTTGAGTGTTGAGTTGACTCCTGAGAGATTAAGTCTATCACTGGAAACAGATACCATTAGGAAGCAGTACGCTGGGCCTTCCATTGTACTACTCTGTGCTTGAAAAATAATATCCTCTGGTTAAATAGGCTATGCTTTGACCTTTAATAAGTCTATACTTTGACCTTTAGATATTTTAAAGTACTATGTACTACACTTTAACCTTTTCAAAAGAGCATAAGAATACATATTTTCCTAGAGATCATCTAAATGGAAAATAATCTCCAAATCATACTGGAAAGCCTCGTGTTAAGATCCAAGTAGTTGAAATGAATCCTGTCTGAAGTTGATTGTACTTGTATGTTAAAGATTACAAGAAAATATTCAAGCAGTCTTTTATTATTTTTAGTTTTCAGTGCCTTTCTAATTCACCACTTTAAATGAAAAAGTAAGACCAACTCTGTATACCAATATTTACTATTATTACAATTCTTTTTATATTCACAGAAAATGGGTATTAATAAGTTTGCTTATAAAATAAATAACTTTTTACTCTCACCATACTGGCTCGCCCCTGCATATATACTATCATTTCTTTTGCTGTGGTCCTTGATATAAATAATTGGCACAAATGTAGATCCATAGAGTACTCCAGATATCACTGCAAGACTGCAGCCCCTTAAAAAACAAATAAATCACTATCAATGTTGGCCCAAAGCAATATTTCTGACAAATACATGAATGGAATCATAACTAAAGCATGCTTCAAAATGCAAATCACAAGCAATTAAACAGAAATCGTGCAACTATCTCAAGCTCTGTGACTGGCAGAAGTCAAAGAAATACCCTTTAGTGTCAAAGTGGCATCAGGACTGGGAGTGCATCTTCAGTCGTCTACTAATTATGGAAGTACGTGATTTAAGGAAGTTATACTGGGTTATTATTATACATTGTCATTACATAGATGAGAATATTGCTACCATTATATTGTTCAGTCTAAATAAAAAAAACTTGGCTCTCTAAATTAAGAAGTATTTGTGGACTGACACTATGCTTTATGCTGTCTAATTATGGAAGTACGTGATTTAAGGAAGTTATACTGGGTTATTATTATACATTGTCATCACATAGATGAGAATATTGCTACCATTATATTGTTCAGTCTAGATAAAAAAAACTTGGCTCTCTAAATTAAGAAGTATTTGTGGACTGACACTATGCTTTATGCTTCTTTTTTAAACACCCTATAATATCCAGCACAGAACTAGGATAGACTATGTACTAAATATATTTTTGTTCAAAACAACTATTGAGATCCACAGATCTGCCTACAACTTAGTTGACTATGGCATGGTCAGGAGGAAGTGCTGATTTGATCAAATAATCTGGGTATTTCAGGTAAAACATTCCTTTTGTAAGAAGAAAATCATCTTTCATTTAAAGCACTGGACTCATGCTGACTTCTTCAGCTTGGGCTGTGTCTCCATGAAGAAAGAACTTCCAATGATTTTGGAGGGAGGTGATTAATATTTTGTGACTGTCCATTTAACTTAATACAATGACATGAAATAGGAAATAGTTTTGGCATAAACCATTTTCTCCCAAGCCTAAAAACAAATTCTTAGCCAATTTTAATACTTCTCTAAGGAATATGAGACTGTAGTAGCTCACAGAGCCACCTCAGCAATGTATTATATTCACACTGGAAATCCCTGTGTCATGTGCAGCCTGGACTTCATCGTCCCAGAGGGCCCCAAACACAAATAAGACAAATAGACCAAGCCTGTCTAATCAAGAGACAACTAAAAATAGTTTATTTTGTTTGAAAGGTTTTGTTTTATTCTGAGGCAAAAACAGCAACGTATTTATTTTTTCCAAAGCTTGTTAGTTCATTCTTCGGTTAATTAAATTATTTGAATATTTATTGAGTACTTACTATGCCCCAAGTGCTGCTTCTTTCTACTATTCTTGAATCAAAGAAGATGTTATCACGTAAATTCAAAATAGCCATCAATTGTAAAATCCAAGCTATAAACTATTCTGTATTTTCATATTTCTTTGGCAGTCAAAACAAACCCCAAAACCCTGAAATATAGGGGCTGATACTGAGCCTAACTTTCTGAGTCCCTGTGGAAACAGTGTGGTTAGGACTTACATGGACAGAAAATATTCAATTATATTTAACACTGAATGTATTGGGATTTAAAACCGTCTAACACACAAGCTGAGGGACTCAGTGTAGGGTTGGCAACCTGGGCAGTGTAATACTAGAGAAATGTATTATCTAATTTAATTGCGATTGCTGACAGCACGTTAGTCATTATATTACCTCTTTTACTTTAGGCACAAAAGTCCTGCAAAGTGAGGTTGCTCTGTCATCTACTTACTCATTAGGGATACTGTAATGGTTTAGTAATTCATGAAAGCAGCTGAGCTCAAAGACTTCTGTACCTAAAGTTCAGCTGGGGACAAAGAAAACCTCGCTCCATGGAGCTAGGAGTCAAAGCCTGCGTTACCATTTTCTTCTTGAATTCAGATGAATACTTCATTCTGGTAATCCTTGCTTTAACAAAATAAGAAACAGAATAGTAGAACAAAGAAGTAACTGCAACTTACACTAAGCGGTGATGTACTGTAGAAAGTTTATCCACCCAGGAACAGGGATCTCGAGTTTTGTTGATCTCCTATTGAAAATATTGGCACAAACCAAACCAAAAAGAGAATTCAGTTGATAATCACAATGGTGACAAAAAGATTTCTGTGTCTTTCTCTCCTCCCTCAAACATGCTTTAAAATATGAAGATACCCCCTACGTGTGCTGATATTTCTAGACTCGACTGTCTCTGATTTTGTTCCTCTTTCATTCAGAATGGTTTGGCAGTTGGCAAGTCCTCCATTTAAATTTTTCACAGTTTAATATGTGGCTATTTGGATATACCTATCAAAACTAACAAATATTATTAACTCTTGTGTTTCATTTGCATATTTTAATAATCTGTAAAGAAATTAGAATCACAAAAAACTCAGACTCTCCTACTGTGGAATGCCTAAGATCAATAAACATGTTTATGCTGATTTTTTTTTTTTTACTGAATTAGTTAATAAAAAATTTCCAGCCATGTTTCAAGATTAGGCTAATATTCTAAGTCAGGAAAAATTATGAGCAAATTCATACTTCTACTATTGAATGTACAGTAGACCTCCTTTATCTGCAGTTTTGCTTTTCATAGTTTCAGTTACCCGAGGTCAACCACAGTCTGAAAATATTAAACAGAAAATTCTAGAAATAAACAATTCATAAGTTTTAAATTGCATGCTATTCTGAGTAGCATGATGAAATCTCTCACTGTCCAGCTCTGTCTTATCCTGGACATGAATCATTCCAGCGTCTCCACTCTGTACACACGAACTGCCCCTTAGTCACTTAGTAGCCACCTTAGTTATCAGATTGAAAAAACACAGTACATATATGGTTCGGTACTATCTTCAGTGTCAGGCTTCCACTGGGGGTCTTGGGACGCATCCTCTGTGAATAAAGAGAAGGCAGCTGGAATCTTTTGAGTCTCTTAGCTGAAGTGTCCTTGATGTTATATTCCTACTGCTTTTGTAAGAGATAAGAAACTAGATTTGCATTATTTGCCATGGGTAAGTCAAGTTTTCCTTTGGCAGTAATGCTTTCTTTGACCATAAGGAGGTCATGATGTATTGCTGCATATTAACCATCACGCTATTTATGTGTCTCTAAAGTTGGTTTGTTTGTATCCTTCCACCTTGTCTAGAAAAATCTAAGGTAGTTAGCCTACTGTGTATCTTTTAACAAGTTGTATTTATTTTATTTTATTATTTTGTTCTTTTGTATGAAGGGTGGTTGGTTAGCAGATGTCAGTATCCCTAAATAGGCAAGAAACACTAGCAACTTTTTCCCAATCTCAACTCCTCTATTCTCCCTGCAATATTTTCCTGATTAGAGATGCCTATTATTAAAAAGCCTCTTCTCTTACACTTAAGCAACTTACTATTAAGCAACTTCAGGATCAATTTAACTGAGGTTTTAGTCATCTTAGTTGACAAAAGTTTTGATAGGAGAAGAAAAGATGATTGCTGAAGTAAAGAGCAGAGACAGCACCTTGCAGGAGGCAGTACCTCAGTGTGGGTGTGGACGCTGGATTCGAAGGGCAGCTGGGAAGCACTGGGCCGGAGGCAGGCAGAGAGGTACTTGAGATCAGAAGGACTAGAGTCTGCATTCACGGAAACAGGGGTTTGCCCTGAAATCACTTTTCTATATGTAGCTACTGACACTTGTGCTATGTCAGGTCTCTTTTAAAGGTTGTCCCTATTTAACCCAGATTTGCTATTCCAGACTAATTTAGATTCTTCAAGATCTAAACAGTGACTTGTATTACACACTTTCTGTCTTTATCTTTCAATGGAACAGGATATGGCAGAAAAGAAAAATAGGAAGAAAATCAAGCCCAATTCCTACTCTCACAGGACTTCACTTGCCCTTTCACTGGCCTTCTCTGGTCTGTTCCTGCCCCAGGGACGACTTCACGACCGCCTTCCTCTTCCTTTCTAAATTTACTTTCACATTTTCCTACAGTATTATTTAAGGCTCCCCCATTATAGAAATCCTTAAATCATTCCAAAAGATCCTAGTAGGGATCTACTGTTAAACAAACAAACAAACAAACTTCTGTGCTTGCTGAGAAGCTTTACTGTGGAAATATTGATTGCTACATAGATCTATCCATAACAAATATGCTAAGACATTTTATATAGCCATGAGTGACAAGTAAACAGCACCTACACATCTGTGTTTCAAATTTATGTATTTCCCTTTTATCTTTATTTTATGATTCAAATCAAGTTGTCTTTCACACTGTACTCACAGGCTCTGTTATTAATGGTGTTGTATCCACGGAACATGTGTTATTTGGTATTTCACTTTTGATGAACAAAAATATGAAAGCGCTGTAAAGAAAATAAATTTTAGTGGTATTTATCACAACAGTGGTTTATATCAATCTACCTGATTTTTAAGAGAAAACATAACTTAAATCATGAAATCCTAAAGATACGATGATTACCTCCAAATTGCCCCTTTAGTGGTCCTGCCATTTCTTCAGAACTGTAAAGTATAAACTCATAAGCTTTTTCCCCAGATAAGATCATTTTCCTGGCTTCTTTGTTTCAGCCAATGGCCTCGTCTTTCTATTTATTTCTGCTTAACTTTAGAATCACATTGTAAAAGAAATACAAATGAAAATGTCATTGAAATAATATTTCTCACTTATTATGTTGACAAACCCCCCAAATTTAACAACATCCTCAGTTGGACAAACTATAGGGGACAGGCACTCATATAATGCTGATGTGAGGGCAAAATTGTACAATGCTCACAGAGGAGAGTCTGGGACTATCTACCAAAGCCACAGGTGTGTCCACTCCTGACCTTACCCATCTTCCTCTAGGCCCCCCAACAGAGGTACACCCACACTCAGATGAGACGACCTATGTGGCCATGTAGTGGAATACTATGCAGCTATTAAAAAGGAGTAAAAAGGACATCTATGCTCTGATATGGAAAGATCTCCAGGATATATTTTAAGAGATAAAACACACACTTCTAAGCTTAATGTCTTTATTCCCTTTAACGTCTCTCTCAGAATGCACTGTTTATCCATATCCAGTATCTTTGTAACAAATGCCTCACTTACTACTGATTTTTGCTCCATGCAAATGTATTAACATATTAACTTAAGAAAACAAACAACTTGAGTAAACATTTGACATTACTTTAAAAATACTTCTTAACACATTTGCCTGGTTCAAAAATTAAAATAAAATAAGAAGCTTTCAAAGCACATATGAGGGTGAAATAAGGTAGGTTGTAGGTGCCGAATAGTGTGCATTATATGCTACTTTTTGTGTAAAAAAGTTAAAAATTTTCTAGTTAGCTTTCTTAGTTCAGTCTCTTACTTACTTTAAAAAAAAAAACTTGAATGGTTCCATATTCTCTTCCATAAGAAATTTGACTTTCCTTTTTGATTTTTATTGCATTATGTGCCACCCAACCTATCTCAACATAATTCCCCATATGGACTTCTATCTCTAACCACTCCCTGCTCCAAGCTCTCTGCCAGTCTCTCGCAAACACTTGCTCTTGTTTGCTTTTCTTCCTTAGCTGAACACACTACATACTCTCCTCTTTCTATCCAAACCAAAGAAGAGTTGAAGAGCTGAATATGAGAAGAGAACTTCCGCCCAAGCCAGTCCCCACTGAATCTTCCTCTTCTCTGAATTCCCACAACACCGAGAATAGTCACCACACAATCCTCCACACAATCCAGACCACTTGCCACAAATCCAGGTAAACTTTTTTCTCTGAAGATTTTCTAGCTCAACAGAAGATAGTGTTTGGGGTCAGAAAACAAGATCACAAAGTATGGCACTTTCACATACTACATACTTTGAAATAAAGGATACTGGAAGGCCTCAGAAGCAGCTTCAGAAGCAAAGACTCTCTCTGACCTTCTCCTGCCCTTGTCTCACACTTCCCATTCTCCCCCAAGGCAAGCCATTAAAGCTAGAATTCCTCTTCCCCAAAGCAGGTCATAGAAACTAGAGATATTACTCTAACCTTCCCCACCTTTCCATGTAGGAGCTGGCCATAAAGAAATTCTCTGATCTACCTTATCCAACAGTAGGTCATTGACCCTCCTTCCAGAGAGGTCTTGCACAATACCTGGGAAGAGGGAATGCTGCACAGAAACGCCAAGAACCTGAGCACGCAGGCTTGCTGGGTTCCCCCCTCAGTCTGTTACCATTAGATGATATGCTTTTGTCCAATCACATTTCTACATGATTGTCTATCCATTCTTCACTAAATCAAAGAATAAAAATGAACCATTTTCCCTGAGTCTTTGGGTCTTCATTTCTGAAGAGTCCCATGTCACATAAAACTTTGATTAAATAAATTTGTTATGCTTTCCTCCTGTTAACCTGTCTTTTGTCATAAGGGTTTCAGCCTGACCTTTATGATGGCTAAGGAAAGGTATTACACCTTTCTGCCCATACAGGAGGGACATGTCTTATATCTCCTTCTGGGTCCTCAAAGCACCGAATGCTCAGTAAAACTGAATGCATAAAACCTAATTATATCTGTATATACAAATGAGTTAAATATGTGTGAGTGTATGTAATTTGCAAGGTTGATATTAGACATTACAATTGCATTTTCTTCTTAAAACTATATAATGAAAATTCTCTACTTTGTGTAGATTTGTATGCTTTTCTAATAAACAACATTGAATAAGATGCTATAAATACTTGAAGGCTACAGATAAAGGTCCTTGGTTTTTTCCTCAAACAAATCACTGACCCTCTCTGAGCCTTGACATTTTTCATCTAAAAAAATGGGGATATATCCTCTTCACAGAGCTATGATAAAACTAAATGATAATACATACAATTCTTAGTGTACTTTTTGGCACATGGTAAAATTGTAAAACATGTTAGTGAAGAGAGAACCTTATCTACCAAATGGGTGGAAAGAGGGTGCTGAGCATGACAAAGACATCAAGACTATGCGATGGTTTTGAGCCTGCGTGACTGAGGATAGACACCAGAATAGGTATGTTAGAAAGAAGGATCCAGCTTGATCAGGTCAAGATGGGGTGAAGGGACAGTAAGTCAGGAGAAGGTAATGAGATTTATTTTATGTATATAAACATAAAACCAAATAAATTGCAAGGCCTTTTCGGTTACAGACTTAAGGAACTTGGTACAGTGCACAGAACACAAATGTCCATGTTAAAGTCTATGAACACTGTCAAAAGCACAGGAAACTTAACAAAGTCAATTTGTTTTACCCAAGGGCACTTCTCTACGATTTGAAACTTTCCAACTTCCCTAGATTTGCAGTCCTACACACCATACTATTAGTAAAACTTGTGTGTGTGTGGTGTTTACACTGACAACTAAATTCAACAAGCATCTACTGAGCACCTATTAGGTGTCAAACACTGTGTAAGAAAGTCTGATGGTGATGGTAGGAGGGATGGTATACCCAGAAAATAATGGACCTCTGTCCTTCAGGTTCTCATAGTTCAAGAATAGAGAAGACCGTATGAATAATACAAAGTAGACTCTGAGAATTTTGATAATAGAAGTACAAAAAGATATGGTAGTTTAGGGGAGATTCATTCTAACTAGAAAGAAGGAAATCAAGAAAATATCACGTGGGATGGAAACATCTCAATTGATATTAAAGGGTGGCCAAGGAGGCTGAGGAAAGGTCATTTGGGGCTGAAGGACGTGCCTGGAGTATGGTAAATAATCCTGGTCAGTGAATGAATAATAGAGAGACAAAAGTGAAAAACGTACTAGAAGGAATAGGTGGATATATACACCGTGGACGACAAGGCAGATTAAGTAGACAGGTTTATGCTGAATCTAATGGAGAGTCTTCACAGGTTTTT